TATATAGATAGATATATATATGTATATAAACATGCAGCAATGAAGGCTGCAATTGTGGTAACACAAAAAATGATTGATTCAATTATAAAAAATAGGGGAAAATAAAGAGACAGCAGCAATGAAGATCGCACAATTGTGATAATACAATGATTAATGCCACTGCAATGTAAGTATAAACTATAAAGAAGTTAAAAAAACCTAGAGCTTTGAAACCATGACAATAATTGTTTAAATATTTCATTCCAGCAATTGCTAATTAATATACAATCATAATGTATTGATTAAAAAATAATCAGAATAGTCCATAAATCAATAAGTAGGCAAAATAATAATTACAAAATAATTGTAATAGAATCCACGTTGCAATGAAATGCCAAATGGAAACGAAAAAAAGGGGCAAAAGTTTGGAGAGCGTGGGTCCTAGTTGACAAAAAACATGTAGGTATTTCACAAAAAGCATACACAATCATAATGCATGAAGGAGAACTACAATTAAAGAAATAAATAATAAGATAATCAAGAACTCAAAAAGCCTTTTTTGGAAAAGGCTTAAAGAAGACAATAGAAAAAGTCTTTCAGCTGGACGGGAATAAATAAAGGCCCCCTTTTTTTTAAAACTAGGCTAATTGGAAGAAAAGAGTCTTTAAAATTCTGAATCAAATATCCAACTAAGGGTTTGTTTGTGGCAGCTGCAGTTGTTTGAAGATGCAGCTGTAAAGCAGTTGAAGAAGAAACTGTTGGCTATTACAATTTTTTTTTAAGAAGTCAGACCACTACTTTTTTTGTAGCCACCGCAGGTAGCCAGTTGGGTGGGCAAACACAACTTTCAACTGCAACTTTTTAAGAATGCAGGTAAAACGCAATTTTGCCAACCAGAAAAAAACTACGATGCGTCACCACACTGCCACCTCACCACCACCCTAAACGCACCCCTAAGACAAATAAAGGATTTTGAAACTTGAGACCAATGAGTTTAAATTAAACAAGCAAAGATCTAGATACTTCTTTTATTTATTTCTCTCTTCTCCTCTCTTCTATGCTCTTTTTATTTACTTAGGATCTGTTTGGGTCAGCTGCAGCCTATTCAGCTTATCCAGATAAGCAACTTATCTTGATAATCCGTCGATAATCAACTTATCTTGTTAAGCTGACTAACTGTTTGGTTTGTGCGTTTTGAAAACAGTTGATTATGGATAAATGAACATTCCGCCCCTGTTCTGGATAAGGGGTTAGTTGTTTGGATTGTGCGTTTGGAAAACAACTTATTTACATGTTTTGGTTAGATGACCGTTTACGTATTATAAAATTTATTTTAAAAAAATTATTTTTCGATTATGTGTAACATAATTTGTAATAAAGTAATTTACCTTTTGTTTGCTCTGCTCTAATCTTGACATTCACTTCTGTTCTTAACTGAATAAACTCAAAATTAAAATTGATATATTAATAAGGAAAATAAATAAACTCTGTGATCAGAAAGATTGGGTTGCATCCTTCTAAACGTTTTCTACAATTGGATGCATAGAGTTGCCTCCAAATAAGAGATTAGCTCAATATCCCTGATCTGGTGCTAGCACAAAAAGTTTTCATAGCTCTAAACACAATGAAAATGGCTGCTTCCGGTCCCTTAAGATGAGCTCACCTTTCTCACCTTTTTTATACATCGCAGTCCCTTAAGATGATTATACATCTATCAAAATACTACCTGAAGCTAAGAATGGATGACCCAGAATGGCAAGGATTTCAGACTCTTAAGCCTTCTTTTTTAGCAAGGATTTCGTACTCTTAAGCAACCGAAGGCTCCAAAGTCCTGAAAAAATCCTTATAGCAAAAACAATTCCACGGACCAACGATCGGAGAAGAAGGAGAAAGAAACAATGGTCTCTCTGCGCCGCGATTCGAAGAAAAGAGGAGATGGCGAGTGTGTGAGGTAGAGGAGATGTCGAGGGAGACGAGAGATCCGACGGGACCGGACGAGGCAGAGGAGATGTCGAAGCGAACGGGTTAGGGCAAAGGGAGCGAGGGCAAAAATTGTCTTTCGCCTAAATGTAACGCGGATCGCGGGGGTCCCCCTGCGTTCGGCGTATAATACAAAAGTGCGAATGGCGTTTAGAAAAACGCCGTCATAAAGTTTTTTCTAAACAGCCGGTGGCGTTTTCAAAACGCCACCGCCGTAAATAAGCTCTCCCAAACGCACCCTTAATCTAATGCGTTCCTTTTACTCACACTTTTTTCTTTATATTTGTGTTTCTTTAGTGTTTTTTACCCTCAAATTTATTACAGGTGTTTTTCTTCTTTCTAATCCTTTAACACTACATTATGACTGTGTCTCTATTTTTTAGTTTGCCAAACTCCTAGTTGCTTTTCTTTTTATCAATTTGGCTTGTTTCTTCTGATCTCAAGTATAAAAGACAACAAAAAATTGAAAAAAATGATTTGTGAACATAGATTTTCCAATAAAGAATTCCTCTAAACAAAGATGCCAAAGGGTTTACAATTTTACCCAAAATATATATATTCAATAAAATGACTCTGAAACATGTGATCTCCTGCAAATTCCTTTCAGCCAATAAATTTTATTTTCCAGAAAACAAATAAGATTTCTTATATAATTTACTGCATTATCATGATTAAAATAAACAATCAAAATCAGCAATGAACAAGATATTCTACTGGTGTAAACTAATGCTTGTCAATTCAGTTGACAAAATAAAAAAGCCATCGGTTTAAAGAAAAAACTTATGCATTGTCCTTTTTTTGGCTTGCTTTCGCTAAAAAACAACTCAAAATTCAACTTGACAGTAAAGTTTGTGCAACTATGATAAAGAAATGTTTTTCTAAGAAAGTAAATTCTTACCATGTGAAGATTCAACATCAAGAATCAGATCAAGAGCATAATCATAGCAAGGAACTTGACTGCTTAATCCACAAAGGTTGAAATCATCTTGAATGTACTCATCATCAATCTCACAAAAGAGCTCATTCCCTCGAATGTTACAGAACCATGATATCCATGAAGTGTCTTCTCCATCAGAACCACTAACATCAGATTCTTCACTATCTGTTTCGGACTCTTCTACAAAATGTTTAAGAAATTAAAGAAAAAGGATAACTGATTAGAATAGATAATAAACATGCTACTAGGAGGACACAAATATTATGGTTACAATTACAGAACATTCTAACAGCTTTGAATTCCTGCTAAAATTTTGTTTCTTGCATCCCACTATATCCATGTACAAGAAGAATTTCCATTTTCTGTTCTCGGCAATTCTTCTCCCTTCCTCACAGAACATTCCCAAACGAAGTCTATAATCAAAACCATACCATAGCAACTAAAAATAAATAGATAAATTTACATAATTCGTATGCATTTACATATCTCACACCTAAACCTTTATAATTACATACACAAAACTTTGGGACTTTAAACCTGTGCATGACATGTATATTTCACTATTAAAAAGTGATAATACTGCAATTTTTTATGTGATACTGAAGATTTGAGTGCTATGTGTGTAAATATGGAACTTTAGGAATGTGATATGTAAATACATAAGAATTGTGTGCCATGTATGTAAATTTCCAAAATAAATAAAAGCATTTCCAAAACTATAGTCAATAGCTATTGTAAATGATCGGTTAAAAATAGATATTTTAAATGGTGTTTAGCAACTTCAGAATGTTTCCTTCTGCACTCAATCTATCATGCATTTTTAAGCCCAATCTACTCTTGGATTATACTCAAAATAAAGTTCAAACAGCTCAACGAGTGTCTTGCAGTTACACGAAGGGCCAGGGTGTTCTTTAAAAAGTGCATTTACTTTAACTTAAAAATAGGTAATACAACAACACAACCCCAATACATGTGAATCTTAAGCACTTCTTTATAAAAACAAATCCAGCAGGAGTGCCTCAGAAAGCCCTAAAGTCAGTAATCAACATAGTTGGAAGGCAGAAAAAGTTCACTGAAGTTCAGAAATCCAAAACTAGACAAGTCGACTTCATCCAATGTCCATATCTTTTACCGTAAATGCTCCGAAAATAACCCAAAAAAAAAAATAAATAATATTCAACTGCCATATTGGGCTATGAGATTATAAGCAGACAAAAAATAGTAATTCACCATCGGAGCACTTGTTCTTAGAAAGACCGGCAGAACGGAGGTCTGCTTGCTTGGCAGCGAAAGAGGCAACCGAGAACCGATCTTTCTCCTTTCCGTTAAGCCCTCGGGAAGTTGACGGCGAAGACTTCTCTAACTGCTTGTCAAGCGCATCATTGATGCGCTTCCGATCGAGTGACCCGATCTCCCCTCTCGACCTGCTCATCACACCTTCCCAACTTGTCTCCTGTAAATCTCCACCCGGCTTCCTCCCTCAATCGACGAGCCCCGGCATGCCGAGAAGGGGAAAACCCGCGACTCAAACCCTAGACTCCGAAAAGAGGGATTTCGAAGTTTGGATGAATCAGAGAAAACTTTATATCATTAAAAAGCTTAATGCCAGCCAGCGAGCTAGTGAGGTGGAGGGCGAAGAGCGGATGAGTGTGGTGAGAGAGAAGCCAGCGATCAGGACTAGGATTCTGGGCGGATTCGTGGAGCAAACGGGGAGGAGGAAGATGAGAGTGAGCCAAAAGAGAGAATGACCGCCGGGGTCGGGTAGGGCTTAGGGGTGCAAGTTGCAATATTCGGAAATGATTGGGGTCTACGGGTGTAAACGTGTCTGAGTCGAGTCTAGCTTTGGTTTTATTAATTTTATAGAGTTTGAGTTTTAAGTTCGGGTCAAGAAATTGGAGTTGTAATTTTAATTTAAGATGATAATATAATAAAATAATAAAAATAATAAGAAATTAATTGATATAGAATATAAAATACTATATTTTTTAATATTTTTAATACTCTTAAAGATAAAGTTTTCAAATTTAAAATATTTTAAATATATTTAATGTTAATATTTTATTTAATGAATTGAGTTGGGGCTAGCTTAAGTTTGGCTTGTTAGCACATCGAGCTCAGTTCAGCCGCCATATATCGAGTCAAGCTTGAGTCGACTTGACTCATAGATATATA